CGTCGTTGTCGTCGCCGTCGTCGTCGCCGTCGTCGTCGCCGTCGCCGTCGTCGTCGCCGTCGCCGCCTTCGTCGCCGTTGTCGTCGTCGCCGTCGTCGTCGTCGTCGTCGTCGTCGTCGTCGTCGTCGTCGCCGGCGTCGTCGTCGTCGTGGGCGTCGTCGTCGCGCCCTGGCGAGCGTCGTCGTCGTCGTCGTAGCCGTCGTCGTCGTCGTCGTCGTCGTCGTGGTGGGCGTCGTCGTCGCCGCCTTCGTCGTCGTTGTCGTCGCCGTCGTCGTCGCCGTCGTCGTCGCCCGTCGCCGTCGTCGTCGCCGTCGCCGCCTTCGTCGCCGTTGTCGTCGTCGCCGTCGTCGTCGTCGTCGTCGTCGTCGTCGTCGTCGTCGCCGGCGTCGTCGTGGTCGTGGGCGTCGTCGTCGTCGTCGTCGTCGTGGACGTCGTCCCAAGACCCCTGGGGGGAGGCCGCCCCTCGGGGCCCGCGGCCACGGCAGCGCCGTGGCCGCGGAGGAGGGAGGAGTGAGGAGGGAGCGATGGGAGGGAGGGAGAGGAGGGAGGAGAGGAGGAGGGAGGAGGAGAGGAGTGAGGAGGAAGGAGAGGAGGGAGGGAGGGAGGAGGAAGGAGGAGGAGGGAGAGAGGAGGGAGGAGGGGAGGGAGGAGGGAGGTGGGAGGGGGGAGGGAGGAGAGAGGAGGGAGGGAGGAGGAGAGGAGGGAGGAGGGAGGGAGGGAGGAGGAGGGAGATAGGAGGGAGGATCGGGGGCGCGCAAACACGGATTAGCGATCCATGGATTTGGCGCGCGGTCGCCTAATCCATGGATCGGGGGAGGTGCCCTCCCCAAATGCGGCCCTTGTTCGGCGGCGGGAATTCGCGATTTCCCATGGAAGCAAGGCCCGTCGCTAATCCACGCCCCCTTGATCCATGGTTGCGATCGCCCGAGAGGAGGCCACGGGAGCCGGACAGAGCAGGAGCCGGCCACGGGCGAGTGGCCTTCGGTCCTACAGTCGGGCTTTGGAAGAAAATGCCGAACATGGGACAAAAACACTCAAACTCAAACATAACAAAGAGAGCACGGAACATCGTCCCCAGGCCATGTTTTTACTGTTCTTGAATATTCCTCCTGTACATAGAGGGACACGTCCGACTTCAGGCAACGGGCGAGGCGCCGTGGCCCTGGGCGCAGCGGCGCGCCGTCGCGCACTCCACGCTGGCGTGCAGCCCGCAGCTGCGAGGCGGGGAGCCGTGCACGTCCACCGCCCGGGCCCCCAGCGGGCGGCGGATGTGGAAATGGTGGGCTTGTTTCCCACCACCACCAACACAAGTAGGAGGGGGAGGGGGTCCTCCTCCTCCTCCTCCTCCCCCTCCTCCTCCGCAATTACTCAATATGAATACTACTCTCCCTCTTCCCCTGATGACGGCTTGAAAGTATCCGACCCCCCCCCCGCGTACTGTTTTTTTACACACAGGTTTCCCGGAGTTGGGTTTTCGCCTGCATTTTTTTCAAAATGCTGCTCTCGCTGATGCGCCGGCCTCATTTTCGGGCCCCGCTCGTTCCGAATCGTGCTCCCGCTGCAGCGCTGGCTCATTTCCGTGCTTTCGCTCGTTCCGAATCGTGCTCCCGCTGCAGCGCTGGCCTCATTTCCGCGCTTCCGCTCGTTTCGACTTGTGCTCCCGCTGCAGCGCTCGCGTCATTTCCCGTGCCATGCCACGGCATGCAATGCAATGCTAGGTTGATACTACGCTTTGTGGTGCTCTTCTACGCCGTGCCATGCCGTGCTCTACAATGCATCGCGTACCCTTTCGGGATCATTGCCCTGCTCGACATCCGACCGAGCGAGTAGAGAGGGGATCTGCGCCATGGTAAGGGATGGGAGGGAGGGGTAGGATGTCAGATATGACGCGAGCGCACCCAGCTTGTCCTCCTCCCCCTCCTCCTCTCCTCCTCCTCCTCCTCCTCCTCCTCCTCCTCCTCCTCTCCTCCCCCTCCTCCTCCCCTCCTCCTCCTCCTCCTCCTCCTCCTCCTCCTCCTCCTCCTCCTCCTCCTCCTCCTCCTCCTCTTCGTCCTCCTCCTCCTCCTCTTCCTCCTCCTCCACCTCCTCCCCCCCTCCAACTTATGGTGGTGGTGGTGGAAAGCAGGCTCAGAGGAAACATGCCTGCCCCAGCGGTCGCTGGGCATATCCACAGCCGCCGCCAACCGAGGTCCCCGAAGATCGATCCCCCGGGCGGTGGCCATGGACAAGTCCCCGCCTCGGAGGCCCTCCGTGGGGCCCTCTGGGGCAAGAACCGCAGGGAGGGGGAAGCGGCGCTGCTGCAGTCCCACGCGTCCCGCCCGTGCTGAGCTGCGCAGGCCGCTGCGCAGGCAGCTGGAGCCCACTCCTGCCTGCTCCGAGCCCTGGGCTCGGGCCCCGGAGCTGCAGGGCAGGTGCTCCTCATCGTGAACAGAGCCACGACGTCGGAGGTCTGGGTCCCCCTCTCCCTCGTCGTCGTCGTCGTCGTCGTCGTCGTCGTCGTCGTCGTCGTCGTCGTCGTCGTCGGTGCGTGGAGGATGGTGGAGGGAGGAGGGCGAGGGTCTTGGCACACCCGGGGCGCCCTTTTGCGGGGAGCCTCCCGGGGCGCCCTCCTGGCCCCGCCGGGGCGGGCCTTCTCAGAAGGCTGGGAGTTCCCCAGGCCTTTTTGACAGTTTCCTAAGCCCTCTGGGGAGACGCAGAACACTTCTCAGACGGCCGCAGTGCCTCTGAGAAGCCCCACTGCCTTCTGAGCAGGCCTTCTCCAGAGATCCGACGTCGTGATTTTTTCAATACGCGGTCCCCCGAAGTCTCGACCCATTCCCCAGGACCAGTTTCTCATCTTGAGTCGTTTTTTGACGGTCCCAGGGCCCGGCGAGGGCCCCTAGAGGCCGAAAATCGAGAAAAACCTTCGTCTTGATTTTTTCGATACGTTGGAGGTCTGTGTCTCCTTCTCACTTCTCACTTCCCCCCTTCGCTCGCCGCCGACAAAAGTAGAAGGGGTGCCGCAAGGGCCCTAAAAAGGGGCCCTGTCGGGCCCCCTCTAGAGCCGGCAGGGGCCCCCCGAATGGTGCCTAAAGGGCAACTGGAGGGCTCATTTCCTTCCGCCCCCATTCACTTGAAGGGGAACTGGGACACACACACACACACACACATACATAAATACACACAAATGGAAATATTCCCCATATTTTCCCATATGTTCTGGGTTTTTGTCTTCCCCCCCACTTCCCATATTTTCCTATATGTTTTGGGAATCGCCGGTTAATTGTGTCTGTGTGTGTTTTTGCCCCTCCTGATCATTTGGAGTCCCGAAACGGTGCGGTGACAGACCGTGCGGTGACCTCGGGACCCCAAGAGACCTCACCGCGCGGTCCGTCACCGCACGGTCTTGGGACCCTGAAGGCCCCCTATCGCCCGAGACACCCTCGGAGAACGACCCGAGTCCCAAAACCGTGCGGTGACCCCGAATCCCCACCGACTCACCGCACGGTGTGGTCACCACACCGCTTGGGGGCCCCCGAATTCAGGACCCCTCCCATGGCAACGCCGAAGCGCGCCCGGAGTCCAGCATGGCACGAGGGTGCAAACCCGACTTTACCGGCGGCTGCTCTGGGGCGGGCCCGTGCTCAGGGGAGGCTGTAGCAGCGCTCAGCGATGTGCTGTCGACCAAACCTGCAGGGTGGGCCCTTTCCCTGTCTCTGTGCGTTTCAGCTTGGGCTTCGGCTTCCGCTGCCGATGCACCGCGAAACGCCCTCGGCCCAGCTCACGCGAGTCGGATTTTCCGCTCGCACGGGTGCTCCCCTCCGTCCCCTTCCCGTTGCCGCTCGCCCGAGGGCCTCGGGGAGGAGGCCAGCTGGTTCGGCAGGCACGCACGAACCGGCAGCTTGCTATGATGCATCTCGGGGCACATCCGTCGTCGACTCTCTAAGCTTAAGTCGGGCGTGCCCCTCTACAGGGGGGCTTAGGACGAACAAAACAAATACTCCAAACATGCCCCCCAAATGGGCAAAAATAGTCAAACAATCGTCCCCAGAGGATCTTTTAATACTATTTTTGAATTTTCCCCCTGTAGAGGGACAGGCCCGACTTCACTCTAAGCCTCCCGATCTGCCCCGTGGCTCTCCATGGGGCCGTCGGGAGGTGCCACAGCATCGTGGGGCGCGCGCTGGCTGTCCAGGTTCAGGTTTTTCGTGTGCCTCTCCCCGTTGCTCGGAAGGGATGGACAGAAACATACAGTCGAGACACTGCCATAAGGAACCCTAAAGAAGGACCGAAACTCCTTTTCTCCAGAAGTTAAACTTTGATTTCCCATCGAAGACCTCGGGAACACCTCAGACAAGCTGTAAAACGGTTCAGGAACACCGAGCCCCTCCCCAACGAAAAGGGTTCCTTCTTCAGCGCCCCGGCTGTATGCTAAATGTGCACCCGCCCCCTGAATGGCAGGGAAGAGGGAACAGCATGTTTGACAAGTTTATCCTGGGTTCCTGGAGGGGGGGGGCGAGGCAGATTTTCGGAAGGCTGCTCTCGAACACCTTCCAAAAACCTTCCACAAACCTACCAAACACCTTCCTCAGAAAGATTCGACTCATGAGGTCAGAAGGCGCCTGACATATGTTCGGACCTGGGAGTGCCGAATATAGCCGTTCCGATTTGTTGGGTGCGCGTGCCCCACAGGTCTGGACCACTTTCCTACGGTAGATTTTTCGTCCAGGGTCGATCTTTGACGGTCCCGAGGCCCGGCGAGGGCCCCCGGCGGAGACAGAGGATCGCCCCAAAGCCGCCGCTCCAATTTTTTTCTCGGGGCGCCGGATCTCTGGGAATGTATACTTCCAACGACCGATGCGCACTGCGCATCTCGGCCTCGGCGACGCGGATTCGTCACGTGGCGCGAATCGGAGGAGGGGGAGGAGGCGGAGGAGGAGGAGGAGGAGGAGGAGGAGGAGGAGGAGGAGGAGGAGATGTAGAGAAGGAAGAGGAGGGGGATCCAGCGCCGAGGCTGCGGCGAACTTGCCCTCCTTCCGGGTGAACTGGTCGATCAGGCGCAGCAGCTGCTCCTGCCGCAGGGCGCGGGGCTCGCCGGATGGCGGGGGGGCACCGCGGGTGCGACAACGACGAGGGGCCCAAGCGGCCCGCGAGCGAGTTCTGTGGCGACTCGTGGGGGCCTCCCATGCCATCTTGTCGGCTCCTGCGAATCGACGCTCTTCGACGCTGAATTGACGCTGAGTCGCCGCTGGATCGGCGCTCGTCGACGCGAAATCGGCGCTATCTCCACGACTCCCAGACGCTGATCGACGCTAGTCGACGCTGAAGACAGAACTGCGAGGTACACGAGGCCCCCATGATTTGCCACCGGAAGCGAGGACACGAAGAATCCACGCGCGCGCGTGCATGCAGGCTAGACGTCCGCGCTGCTCGGGAGGGGCAGGAGCGGGAAAAACGACATTCTTCTGGGGCCCCCCTGAGGCCCCAAGCCTCGTCGAAGCCTCGGCGCGCTCCCCCGAGACGGAAGCGCACGGCGACCGCGGCCTCTCCGATGTGGTGCTTAAGCTGGCCGAGAGTCTGGCCAGTGCGCGCGCCTGCAGATGGCATTAACACCGAGGTTGAGGCCAGACGCGGGCATCGACGGTGGCGAGAAGCCCTCCTCCTCCTCCTCCTCCTCCTCCTCCTCCGCCTCCGCCTCCTCCTCCTCCTCCTGGGCAAAGCTTACCCGCCCACTCGCCCGAAACTGGTGCGCAGCCAACTCCGTGGACTTTCAGAACCAATCTTGGGTGGTCTCCCAGTTTCGCGCCCAGGCCGAGAGGCAACGATAGTCTTGGACTGGCCAAGGGGGGGGGTGCATCGACCTGGAATCGAGGATACATCGCCGATAGATCGGCGACAGGCCCCCGATAGCGAAGCCGCGCCTTCCTGGAAGGGATGGGGCTCTCGGGCTCCTTGTTGGCGATGAGTGGACTATGTTGGGGGTCGAGGCCTCCCGCTCTGTGCTCTCCTCCTCTTCCCTCTCCTTCTTCTGCTCCTCCTTCCTGCCTAATCCTTCTGCTCTCTTCTTCCCTCTCATCCTTCTGCTCTTTCTTCCTTCTCCTCCTGCTCCTCCCTGCTGCCATCATGGGGGCTGGCATCATGGGGGCTGCCGTGGGTCTCGCCCCCATTCGTTTGCACTTTCGCACTGCGGCGCCAGGGGGCCGGGGACTCCTTTGTGGACCCTCGGCCAACAAGACGAACCTCCATCTGATTTGCACTGTCAACCTGCACACCAGTCAACCAGCTCTACTCCTCCTCCTGCTCCTCCTCCTCCTCCTCCTCCTTCTCCTCCTCCTCGTCCTCCTCCTCCCTCCTCCCTCCTCCTCCCCTCCTCCTCCTCCTCCTCCTCCTCCCTCCTCCTCCTCCTCCTCCTCCTCCTCCTCCTCCTCCTCCTCCTCCCTCCTCCTCCTCCTCCTCCTCCTCCTCCTCCTCCTCCCTCTCCTCCTCCTCCTCTCTCCTCCTCCTCCTCTCTCCTCCTCCTCCTCCTCCCCCTCCTCCCCCTCCCCCTTCTCGTTGGCCCTGACAGGCGCCCTGCTGTGCGCGATGGCATTCGCGCCCTCGCGCCCTGGCGTCGCCCGCCCCTACAGGGGAGGGCAGGAGAGCCGCCCAGAGTCGAATCGAGAAGTCGCATCGGCGATCGAAAGGAACCGGATCGGCGCAAGTCGGCGTCCAAACCGGGAGAAATCGCATCGGCAGAAGTCGGCAAGCCGCAGTAGGCCTCCGCGGAGAGATCGGTATCCGGTATCCGAATCGGAATCTCAAATCGAATCGAATCGGAATCGGCCGCCATCGAAGCCGAAGCGAACCGGAGGAAGCGGAGCGAGCCCCTCTGGGAGGGCAGCCCTCCGGTCAGGACCGCGGCGCGCGAGGAGCTGCTGCCCCCCCCGCGAAGTGGGCGGGCGGCCTGGGCGCTGGGGGAGCCTGCTCAGCTCTCGCTTTTCAGGGAGGGGGGGAGCGGCTACACGCAAGAGTGACCCTGGGTAAACATGACCTTTGGTGCGCGGCTGTTCGGGGGCCGCGGGGGGACCCAACCTGGGCGCGCAAGCCGCTGCTACCGCCTCGTTTCTGCCATCTGAGGGCCCATCTGTGCCCGCACCAAAGGTCCCTCCGGCGAAAGGTCACTCTCACGTCTAGCCGAGGGGAATGACAAGGCCGGGCTGGGGAAGCAGGGTGCGCTTCTCGGGGCCCGGGCAGGCAAGGCGGGGGGTTAAGGGGAAAGACATGTGTGCACCTCTCGGGCCCCAGAGGGCCCCCCTTCTGGGCTCCTCTTCTGCAGCCCTCGCTGCCCCCCCCCCCTCCCATTTATCGCCCCCCCCCCCCCCCCCCGTAGCGCGAGCCCCCACCTGCAGCTGGGTGGGAGGTTTCGGGGGCCTTTGCTCGAAGTCGCAGCCAGGAAGACGAAGCCAGGGCGAGGACAACCTCGGGTGAGGATACGTCGGGAATCTCTGAGGCCCCGCGGCTCTGGAGGATGCCTCGGGCGCCGTGGCCTTCTCGGAGCGCGCCGGAACGCTCCGACCGAGAGAATTCCGGAGCGCTCTGGGGCGGCCTGTGCGCGGCCGTGCCCCCCTGGCGCGTGGAGGCGTGCTGGAATGCCAAATGCTGTCTGGCAGGGCTCTTGTCTGTAATCTTCTGGCCCCCCCCCCCTTCCTCTCCCCGCCGCACCTCGCCGCGCGCATCCGGCCACGCTGCGGGAGGTCCCTCCTCCCCCTCCTCTCCCTCCTTCCTCCTTCCTCCTCCTCCTCTTCCTCTTTCTCTCCTCCTCCTCCTCCTCCTCCTCCTCCTCCTCCTCCTCCTCCTCTCCTCCTCCTCCTCCTCCTCCTCCTCCTCCTCCTCCTCCTCTCCTCCTCCTCCCCCCCCCCTCCGAGGCTTCCAGGAGGAGGCCCCCAAAACGGTCCAAGACGGCCCCGAGCCGCCGAACGATCGCTCGAAGACTGCCAAGATGGCCTCAAGATGGCGCAGGAGGCTTCCAGGGCGCCCCTGAGGCCTCCAAGAGGTCTCCTACGAGGGCCCCCACATGCAACAATCATTGGTTGTCCTTGCGTTTTCGAAAGATTTTGGCGTTCCAGCCTTTGCGGCTTTCCGACGCTCGAAGACGGCCCAAGAGGCCCTCAAAACCACTCCAAAACGGCCAAGAGGCCTCCGAGAGGGCCCCAAGACGGTCTAAGAGCTCCCCAAGACGGCCCAAGAGGCGCCCAAGACGGCCCCACAGGGCCTCAAGACGGCCCCACAAGGGCCCCCAGAGAGGGAACACGAACCGACAATCCGAGCCTTCCGCCCCCAAGGGCCCCAGGAGACCCCAAGAGGCGCCCACGAGGCCTCCAAGATGTCCCCAGGAGGCCCCCAAGAGGTCCCCACATGGCCCCCAAGAAGCCCCCAAGAGGTCCCGAAGAGACTTCAAAACAGCCTCCAAGAGGCCCCCGAGAGGCCTCCCACGAGATCCCAACGAACATCCACTAGGCTTGTAACCCACAACCCAGGCACGGTGGCGGGACTTGCCGTAGGCAGCTGGATCCTCGTCCTAACCCCGTCCGAAATGCAAGGCTGTCTGCACATGGCTGGCGCCCCTGCGGGTCTTGCTGACTACTTCTGGCCAGGGGGCGGTGCAGTGCCAGCGTCCGCGCGGAGTCAGCTGTCCGCGCGCGGCGCCTTTGATTTCTATGCTGGAGCGTACAGTAAGAGCCCGACGACAAGAAACCTTCCACAAGAAACCCAACCCTGAGACCCCAAGACGTTTATGGAAGTTTGGTGTGGGAACGTCGCGCTTCCCATAACAAAAACCATCGAAACTCAAGAAACACAGGGCACCCTGGAGGCAAGCAGTGTGTTTCTTGGCATGGGCCTCCACTGAATTTTCTTGCTTGCACACCGCCCAGTGCACGTGGCTTAGGCCGAAGCGAGATAGAGTCGCCCAACTGGGCAATCGGTTTCGGTTTCGGCTCTTCTCGTGTGTGCGAGCAGGGCGAAACGACGCGAGTTCCTGCATTATCTAAACGTGACTCGCGCCAACATAAGCCGCTGTCTGGCTTCCGGGGCGTGCCCCGGGTTATCCCGCGATTGTCCAACGGTTGTCCTGTGGTTGTCCCGTGGCGCGCCCTGGGGTGTCTGGCGCACCCTGGGTTGTCCTGCGGATATCCCTTGGTTGTGCCACGAATGTCCCGTGGTTGTCCCATGTGTCTCGCACAATTGGCCCGTGATTGTCCCGCAGTCGTCCCGCGGTTGTCCCGTTGTTGTCGCGTGATTGTCTCGTGATTGTCTCGTGGTTGTGCCGCGGTTGTTCCGCCAATGCATAGATAGTGGGACCGATGAATAGATCGTGAGATCGATTGATTTAGAGGCATATCGATAGATTGTGAGGCCGATAGAGAGTGGGCCCGATCCTTACATAAATGATTCGACAATGTAGTTATGGATGCATTGTGAACCTCATCCGATTCGTGATCGAACGGTATGTTGAATCATGTCGGAAGATTGATGGTGAGACAGGTAAATATTTCGACCGGCGGATTGATGATGCGACTGGTCGATTGACGGGGAGACTGGTAAGCATGTAGATCGAGAGACAGAAAATGGCACCGCCTAGTAGAATGAAAAAAGGATCGGCAGATCGAGATATCGACCGATATTTTGGTAGTGGAATCGAAAGATGGCTAGCGAGACATTCAGAAAGGGATGCCGATACATCCAAGGGATACCAACATATATATATATATATATACACATAAACATACACATATAGATATATAGGCAGATACCGAGTTCGGTCGATAGATCGCAAATCCAATCCGACGACAACTGCAAACCGTCAGCTGCAACCACTTCCCCCCGACCTCCCGATGAACTGGAGGGTGGTCCTATAGGTATATTCCAGTTCACTGGATGGCTCAGTCTCCATGCACTTTTTAAAATTGAGCGGCCCCAAGAGGGTTTTCGGAACATCTCCGATCGGCCTCCAGACACTCTGAGGACCCTGAGGCGTGAGCAGGAAGGTGGATGGATTGAGGGGGTGATGTGAAGGAGGCAGGGGGGGGAGGGA